CCGCGAGGCTCAGTGCGTGTGGTCCGGGGCCAGAGAGCTGGGGTGGCTGTCTGACGCCAGAGGGAGCCCATCTGTGGAGAAGGGGCCGCCCCAGCTCAGACCTGAGTGTGCTGAGAGCCAGCACCTACGGGACAAAACCGCTATTTCCTCCGGACATTTAAAAAAAAAATAAAAAATCGAGCTTCCAAGTCAACTTTCTAGCTCCATCTTATGACACATTTTAAATGATTACATTTGACTTTTAGAAATACATTTATTTTATTATAGCAGGGCTCAGTTAATAATTTTATTATATATAATATATTATATTATATATTATATATAATAATATAAAATAATATTATTTACCAAATTAGGCCATTTTCCTAGATGAAACATTAAGCCGTTGGGCATGTTTTAAATAATACAACTTAGCTCGATGACAATACTACGAGAATCGTGAATGTGTAAATTTGCAGCAAATGGTTCAGGGCCTTACCTCGGGGCACGCTCACAAGACTTCAGAGGGGATTTAAAGGTGTCTTTCCTCCTGACTGTATACAGCACAACAGTAGATCGAAAAGGCAATGGAACAGGAGGTGAGAAGGGAATATAAACATTCTGGTTTTTGCAACAGCAAAAAAAATTTCAATCTATTTACTCAGCATGATTTTTCAACTTTACGGTAAGAAAACAAAATATTTGTTCTGAAGTTAGAAAGATTAACAATATATCGCAACTATTGCTATGTAACACACATGAACAGAATTAACTTGTCAACTTCTTCAGCACTCAGTTAGCGTTCAGATGTCCAGAGAAAATAGGCAGACAAGAAGGCATTTATCTTACATGCAAACAAGAAGGAATGACAGTGTCAGGTGTCAGACATGCCATCAAGCCCGAAAGGGTCCCTGTGTCCAGCCTGGCTGGCCGTCTGCCCAGGGACCTGCCCCTCCCCCGCCTCTCTGGCAGAGCCACCTGGGCAGCAGGTGTCCAGGTAAGCTGGGCATGCCAGGAGGAGATGCTGGTGGCCGACCACATGCGCAGAGTTCTACCAGCTGGGACTTGGGAGAGTCGAAATCATGGAATGTGCCACACTTGGCCTGCACCCTGCCCCCTGTCCCCAGCCCCGCCTCGTGGGGTCACAGGGACACAGGGTGAGGACACAGCCGCCCTCCATAGATGCCGGAACAAACGCAACGGGCTGGTCGTCAAGGAAGGGCTGCGACAGCACACGAGCCAGAGTCTGATCTCTCCCTGTCTTCTTGTGCGCGGAGAACAACAACTGTGCACGTAGGCCACTGTGATCTGGTTTCCTACCTTCTATTTCTTGCAAACTAAGCCAATTCCTAGCAGTTCTGAGGGCTCGAATAAATCCCCTCATCTCCACCGTCAGAGTTTCCTGCTGTAGCAGTTAAGAGCTGCGGTTCTAAGCCTGGTGTGCATCACTCGGGGACTTGGGCTCAGTTTTCTCGGTCCTTTATGCCCCTTTAAGAGGAAAATTCAAAGCATTTGATACAAAACAGTTCTGACACCTCGGCGTGGGTTCATAATGAGGTATGGTGAATGCCTGGTTCACATCAGCCGTTTGATACGTGTGATCCCCTATTCTATCTGCGATAGCTCCAAGGAGGAGGTATTGAAACACCTTTTGATGGCTCGGGGGCTGACGTTGAGGAGGGTAGGAACCTGCTGCAGGTTGTGCTGGTGGCATGTTGTGATGTCCACAGTTCTGTTTGCATCCTGCGCCGTGACCTGTGGCTTCCGGGGTCTGAGGCTGCACAGCGAGAAGCAACCCTCCCCCAGCCTTGTGGCTCTGTCAGCGGGAGGCCTGCAGACACCGTGTGCAGGCTGCACTGGGCGGTGAGGTGTCCCTTCTGTGAGTAGCTTGCTGCACCCACAGCCTGCGGTGGCCTCCTGGCATGGACGTCCCTGCCCCGTGTCCCACCCTGGACCACGCGGTGGGCTTTGGGCGGTAGGTATTAGCTGACAGGGCACAAGTGCAGGCTTGACCTGTGCTTGTGCAGTTGAACTTACTACCTCATGCATCAGCTACAGCCATGTAAGAGTGTCCTCACGCCCCACAAGTCCTGGAAGGAGGAGACACGCTGCAGACCTGCGCCCCTCGTGAGGCCCAGAGCCGAGTCCAGTGAGCCCAGACCAGACTGACCAAGCCCTGCCAGCACACAGCAGTGAGAACAAAAATAAATGAGTGCTGTTTTAAGCCACTGAGTTTTGGGGTATCTTGTTCACAGCATTACAGTAGAAGGTGACTAACAGTTTTTTAGAAGGAAGAAATGCCAAAATACAGCAAAATATCCAATTAGTCAAAGATGTTTTTCAAATTTTGGTCTATGTAGTAGTGTGTGGTATTAGGGAGAAAATAATCTTTTTTATCATCACCATCATCACCATCACACATCACCACCATCATCATCATCACCACCATCATCACCACCATCACCATCATCACCACCACCATCACCATCATCACCATCATCACCACCATCATCATCACCATCATCACCACCATCATCACCATCATCAAACATCATAACCATCATCATCACCATCATCACCATCATCACCATCACACATCACCATCATCACCATCATCACCACCATCATCATCATCACCAGCATCACCACCATCATCATCATCACCATCATCACCACCATCATCACCATCACACAAACCATCATCACCATCATCACCACCATCATCACCATCATCAAACATCATAACCATCATCATCACCATCATCACCATCATCACTATCACCATCACCATCATCACCATCATCACCATCACCACCATCATCACCATCATCACTATCATCATCACCATCATCATCACCACCATCACCATCATCATCACACATCACCATCATCATCATCACCATTACCATCATCACACATCACCACCATCATCATCACCATCATCACAGGACCTGAGTTTAGCCTTGGACACACTCATACAGTATTTCTGGAGTAACTTTGTTGTTTGCACAATTTGATTGTCCAGTTGACCATTTATAATAGCTTCAGTACAATGTTTCAGTACATGGATTCAGCACATGGATTTCCATGCTTCGGTACATGGATTCAAAAAAGCTGAAACCTCTCGCCCTGATAATT